CACGTTAATATTCTTTATGAATATAGTAATATATATATATATATATATATATATATTTTGCCTCTTTTTTAAATTATAAAAGATATTAATATAACGTATCGTTAATAAAATTATTTTTATTTAAATATTAAACCTAACTAATAACTGAATATTTATATATTCATGTGTTATTTTATACATGCTCATAATATATGATGTCATGTAAAAATGGAAAAGTGACATAACGGGAACATAAATCACATGATATAGAGATTCATTCTTATATACTCGCAGCAGTTTCAAGATTTCATTTGACGATAAAAACAATCGATAAAATGGCAAACCGAAACGACCAAGCCAAACGAATGACAGGGCGATAAAATCCTAGGAGCCGAGTCTTCGTTTAATATCAGGTGACACTTATGGTATCTCAATACGAAACTCGCGAATTCGTCCGTGTGGTTGGCTGCAACGCGCAGCTAGAATATCAAATAGATCCATAGCTCTCGGTAGACAGTCGACTATGTAAGATAAACGAGGTAATATGGCCCGTGACGCTCACTAACTGCCGGATTTACTGAGCTCGATAACCGATAACTTTCTTATTAAATCGACTTGGGTTAGGTTATCGGTGCATAACTGTTCTGTGCATGGCTGCTCGAAAGGACTCTTATGTTGCATCGCTGCTTCTGAATTATGCTACTAATAATGCGAATTAACTATTATACACGATAAGAAACTATAATATTCATCCTTGAGAAATAATAATATTCATATAATACGAAAAACAAATAATTTAATATGCACGATGTCATTTTCTCGAGTAAAAATTTAAAATAATAAAAAATTGAAATTAATGAACTTTTAACTTGCGAATAATTTCAAGTAGAATATTCAATATCATAACGTGATAAATAAATATATTGGAGATGCAGTAGCGCTGAAGTTACGTTCCCATGTTGAAATTTTGATGATATTGTCTGAACCGTTTGGCTGCAAATATCACATATCGTAACTTTCAATATGTAGTATTAAGATATATGAAATGAGAAATAAATAAAATTATTTTTCACTCTTTTATTTAATTTAATAAAATATTGTAATACATTGCTGTTATAAAGTATGTTCTATATCCTGGTAAAGTGAATCAAACTAGAAATCGATAATACATTATAATAAATATGGAGCAATAATCAGTAACGATGTTAAATTGTTAATGTTGTAAAATGTTGACAACAAAATTATTTGTGGCCATTTAAATAAAAGAGTTTTATTAAAGAGTTATTCGAAATTTACAGTTATTAATTTTATAATTAATTTTCTACCTGAAACAATATTGCTTTCATATACATATACACACTTTAAACATATAAGAGAATTATTACGTAAAAATGATTTTTTAAATTTTTTATTACTTTGCTTTTTATTGTATCGCGCTCT